TAAAATAAAAATTTTCCTTCATTTAGGACTCCCAAGATCATGTCGTTGAATCAACTAATTATATATAAACTTGAATAAATAATTAAAGCGAGTGTTTACCTCTTGTATAGTAGAAACTATCTATATGGAAAGATATCATCCAAGTGTCCGGTCTCTATTGATTATCCACACGACTCAAACACTCACACAAGAAGCAATAAAAAATTGTTGAGTGTTAACTCTACCCTTTTTTTATATGTTTATTTTTCTTTAGAATCAATTCAAGATTTTTTTATGCGACAACCCTATATTGAGAGAGAGAGAGAGCTGGCAGGCTAAGAGGGAGAAAACTTTTTTCTCTATTTTTTCTTTATTTGTCATGTATTGTTACTCTCTCTTAGCTTGTTACCGCCTCTCTCTTTCTTTTCTATATATAAGGGCGATATTCTTATCCTCCAAGAATAAGGAGTTGTAATATATGTGAGCTTTTCCTAACCTTATCCTTGTAAACTCGAGCTTTATCTAATATTGCTCAAGTTTATTCTTTCACCAAAATATCTTTCGAGCTTTTGAATTAAGTCCATTAGCCCAAACTCTTTTGACCCAATTAATTTGGACTATCTAAATAAATTGGGTTAGATATTTTTAGGAGGTTCATATTAGAAAAAAATTGCCTAAATTATCCTTAAACCTAAATTAGAAAATTGATTTTCATTTTAGGTAATTGACTTTTAAATTTGGAACTAACTTCCAAATTAGGAAACTAATTTCTAAAATATAAAACTTTCCACTTTAGAAATTTTTTTCTAAAACAGAAAACTTTCCAAAATAGAATTTTTTTTTCCAAAATAGGAAACTTTTCATTTTAAAAACCTTTTCCAAAATAGAAAACTTTCACAACAGAAAACCTTTTCCATAATCTTTGCTTCTCTTTTGTCATATGAATGTTTAAACTCATTTGTGTGAATGTTTAAACTTATATGTGTGACTCAATAGGCTTTTAGATATGTTGACAATGTGTTAAGAATAAAAGATATCTCTTTTATCTCTTGATACATAAATAAAAATTAGCTTCTAGCAAGACATCTTGACTACCCAATTCTATAAGAGGATAAATTAAATCACAATTACCATTCATGAGCATGGTTACCATATAATTCAGTTCTCATGTCAATTTATTACGGAGTAAACCAACTATGCTCTATTGGTATACTTCTACTACGACCACAAATTCCTTGAGCGGACATTCATCAAAGTGTAATGTGATAACTCTTGCATATAAGGAATGGTATGTCCTATTTTATTCATTCAGCTATCTCTATTAGATTCTTAGTGCTCCCAACGAATCGCCTACATGCGATCCTTGACTAGGCTCATCGAAACGAGTGTCAAAGTATATAAATCCTCTAATGAGATAACCGTGATGACTTCAAGTCAAATGACCAGTTGTGTCTATCTCATATGAGATTCCCATACGAGATAAATTCACCGACATTATCAAGGTGAATTATTTTAATGATATAATCTAGAAATTATGCTCATAATCTAGAAATTATGCTCATAATCGAATTATTTGAGAAAGCAACCCAAAAAATACCAATTTTCAAGTTGATAATAAATATACATATGACCATTTTATGAATCCATCTATTAAAATCATAAAACATCTAAATGGTCTACATGATAGATGAATTAGTTTATATATATTACTCTAAATATGTTCTAAAAGTGTTGGGGATTCAATCCCAATTTTACTTGATAATGGCTTAATAATCGGTTTGCCTTGAGAACATGCGGGACATGAAAATTCATTAAATTAAGGAATCTTCGGCTCTTTAATAGATATATTTTAATAATTTTTTGCATCATAATGGATCCAGGATGACCTAACTGATCATGTCATAGAATAAAAGGATTAGCAAACTTTTGGTTTGTTATAACATTTATTTCAATCATTCAAATGTTTTTGAAATAAAGGTCGAAAGAGAAAACATGGTAATTTTTCCAATACATGTTTTCTACCCAATATAATAGTTATAATATATAAGTATTTAATAATTTCAATATTTGTTGTCTCGATATGATATCTATTTAGATGAATATTTTTGAAACTAAACAAATTTTTATAGGACTTAAGAAAGAATTATACATTATTTATAAAATTTATTCCTTTATATAATAATATATTTGCTCTTTATCAATATTAAGAAATCTCAATTATTCATCGGATATAGCATATGTAATGGAAAAAAAAAGGACAGTTGGATACATACATAGAATTGCATATTACTTTAATTAAAAATAAATCTTATCCATTTTTCAAATTACTTGTGTAGCCAATTTATTACTAAATTTTTGGGTAAACATAATGTTTCTTTATGATGAAAAAAGATTAGCATGAATTTAGAATGAAGGTTAACCGAAAAGAAAAATGTGATCAATTCACTACAATTTTAATTATTATTACATGGTGAGGCCTCATATGGTTGGTAAATTTGAATATTTCCTACATTATTATCTTTAATTGCAACTCATTTGTCCCTAAAGAATTTTGAAATATTCAATATGTCATTCCGATCAAATTGTTTGATCATAGAAATTTTTTGATCGAAATGCCCTATACTAAACCGAAAAAAAAATTCAAAGTTCATGACTTACATGTTAAAGTCTTTAGAATTTTATTTTATTTTATTTTTTGTATTTCAATCGGGGGCATTTTGGTTAATTTGTCTATTTGGCTAGAAAAAATTGATTGAAAGAATAGATTAAACATTTTAAATACTTTTAGGGATAAATAAAATGCAATTAGAATCTAGAGATATATGAGAGACTTTAAGTACTATATAAGGACAAATGAGTATATCTACATCATTTTTTATTTCATAACATATCCTTAATTATAACTTCTTCTTTTTGAGCTATATATATGCCTAATTGTAACTTTTGAAACTTTCCTTAAAAATAAAAAAACTACGCTAATGCCACCCAAGAATATCGAAGAAAGCCATAACCAAATTAAAATAAGAAAATTCAAATATTCTTTTCCATATATATATACTCAAAATCTCTCAAATGTCTCTAAATTTCTAATTTTATCTTATTTGTCTCTAAAAGTTTTTAAAATGTTCAATCTACCTTTTTTATCAATATTTTTGGCCAAATAAAAAAATTTGACCAAAATGTCCTAATTGAAATGCAAAATAATAATAATAATAATAATATAAAATTCTGAAGATTTCAAAAATAAAAGATGCAAGTCATGTGACTTCAAGTTTTTTTTTTTTTTTTTGCATTTTAGTAAAAGGTATTTCATTATTAAAAAAAATCATGGTTAGAAAATTTAATCGAAAAGACAAATTGAACTTTTCAAAAAATTTAAAAAAGAAATGAGAAATTTTGAGTATTGTGTAAAAATACATAGCTACATTTATCGTAAAAAATTATCTTTTAAGCTTCTTGTATAATACCTCTAATATATATTTGCACCATTTTATAACAACCATTCATAAGAAATTTTGTCTCAAAAAAAAAAAAAAAAATCTTAATTTATTACTATATATCTATACACATTGTAAAATGTATATACGCATCTCGGGAGTTAAACAAATTTTGTAATTACAAAGAGATCGAATATTAATCCTCGAATTTTAATCCCCATTTAATTCTGCAAACTTCTAGCATTATTATTATTATAACTAATTACTAGAGAAAACAATCAATAATATTTTGGAATCCACTCATCTCCTTGAATGAAATTCTGTGGAGAATATGCAACTATATGGGTTGGTGGAATCTTACTACTCCATGGCACTCTCTGACTCGTGTTTGATCCTGGTCCAGCATTCATAAATTCTCCATAGTAAAGCGTTTCAAGTGTAGCATCATCACTCCATGGTGACCACCCTTCTGGTCTTATAATAGCTTCGAAGTTACACTGTATAAAAACAGTTCTTGCGTATTCCCTCCATGGCCTTCCCAAGAAATTCTTGTGGACACTAGGCTTGCTTCTATATAATTTCATATATTCCTCGGTTCCATTGACGACACAATATTGAAAGACAAAACCTGTAGATTGGGCTGGGTCCGTTCGTCCACGTGCTGTTACAGTGTTGCTTTCACCTTTTTCTGGGTTTTCTTGCCTTGGGCTGATAAAAATCTGACAATCTTCAAAAACTACAGCAGAGTTTCCAAAAATGAAGTCCACGTTGCCCACAATGCGGCATTTTTTGTAGAACTGGCGAAGCGAATGGGCATATAAAGTGTCTTGATTGCCTAGGAATTCACAGTTCTCTATAACAGACATATCGCTATCTGATCTGAAAGCCACTGCTTGGTGGGATGGGGCTGTGTTCTGGATCGTTAGGTTACAGGCCATGAATCCATCTCCAACAACTCCTGTATCAAAACAATGATAAAACCCGCTCAGAATTATATCAACAGAGCCTATCATTTCTAGTTGGTTTATTAAATTATTTGCAGCCTAAACTAGTATACCCTATGATTTTTTTTTTTTACAACGTGTTCAAGTGTCAATAACACTGACTTCGAATTCATCAGGAATTACAAAAAATTAATTAAATAAAAGATAAAAATATTTACAAAAAATGAGAATGGAAAACTTACGTAAAATTTTATAATATTTAAAAAATAATTAGTGATATATATAATAGTTACTTAATTGATTTATTTAAAAGAGAGAGATAGACACATAAAATTATATTCGGATTCATCAAAGTAATAATAATTTCTACGTTTACTCAATTTTTTTTAATTTTTTCTTTTTTATTTCTCTTTCTTTTTTGTATGTATCTATTTATTTTCTTCAAGTGGATCAATAAAATAATTACTGTACATATCATTAATTATTGTTTCAGTATTATAAAATTTTTCAAAAATTACCTACTATAGCTGTGTTGTAAGTAGAAACTCCAGGCTGACCAGCGTTTAGTGACCCTGTAATTACTGTTTGACCCATCCCATCCCCTAAAAACACTACATTTTTTTCTCTAACGGCACTCTAACTATCTCCTCATAAACTCCTCCTTAATACGTATCACATACCTACGTCCCCACTCATTATCCGGTGCCGTATTAACGGCCTCCTGCACCGTTTTATAGCACCCGCCGTCGTTTCCATCCATAGACACCATCACGTCCGTCGTTAAATTAGGCGGAAATCCACCTCTATACCTCAAACCTACCTCCTCCACCGTCCCAGAAATCTCCCAAAACCCGTCACGCTCTGTTTGCGGTGGACCCCACGATTTGGTGTCATTACCAAAAACATCATAAGACACAATCATGCTCAGTGCATTACTGGTAAGACTTGCCGTCGCGTTCAGAAACGACATCGTCTGGTTAGTGAGCGACGTGTCGTTGACATACTTCAATTGTCCCAAGCAGACGTTTTGGTACAACAACGCAGCACTCATCCAAGCCCGAGCGTTTTTCGTGTTGCCTGGCAAACCATCCTCCGTCGTTCTTGTTATACGGTACTGTGAATTCTCTAGCGTTTCAACGCAGGTCTTTGCGGCTCTTGTGCGGTTTGCGTTGTCTTTGGACGTGTCTAAGATAGACTTGACCATTGATTGGTCAGTTTTAAGGTTAGCTTCGGAAATAGAGATTGCTGATCGGATGATTTGAAGCGGGGTTTCGTTTTTAGGGACGTTAGAGTTAGACATAGATGAGACACAAGTGTCTTGAAATCTAGTTGCTTTACAAGCTTGGACAATCTCCGGTTGAGTTGCTCGTTTATGTTCTGTGGGTTGTTCGCAGTTTGTCTCTGTGGTGATGGAAAGGGAGAGAAAAAGTAAGAGACAGAAGGAGAGAATTGAAGCCATGGAAATGAAAGACGGTTTCTTTGTTTTTTTGCGATGCGTTACTAGTGTTGATGTTGTAGGTATATAGATAGTGATAAGAAAGTAGTTTTGGATTTTAATGGGTGGAGTGGAGTGATAATGATTTTTTGCGATTAATCCACTAAAGGAGGACTGTTTTTTGTGGTTTTGACTCATCAAGCAAAATAAGGGGTCCATGTCATGATTCATTACTGGTTCCATCAAAATTTTCCCCAACGGGAAGGAACAAACTTTGGAGATTGTATACAATCTGATTTCGCTGTTTAATCCTAAAATCCACCAGTTAAAGTAACGTTACTCCAGGCTACTTTTGCACCATTGTAAATATAAACATGATATTTTTCAAATGAACTAGATAAGAATTGAATTAAGGAGTCCGATATCCAACCTATTACCATTTCTACCTCAAAGTATGTATAAGCATGGACTCCTAATAGTGTAATCGTTATAGAGGAGTGTTTGGGTTAAATACTTTGTTTGATGGATCCGCTTGCGGGCTTCACAATCGGTCTTAACGGGACTTGTACATTGAATATTACATATAATTACCCCAATAAAATAATTAATTAAGTTTGCATCTTCATTGAAACGTGTGAGACAAATGATCATATTCAGGCCTCTAAAACGATTTAATATGTTTCTAAAATCATGGATTGACAGCAGCCAGATGAAAATTCTTCAAAGAAATGAGCTAGGGGGCAGCATATTGCAAATTAGTTGGCAAGATATCATCTAGGAACGCTTGCCCTACATATATATTATTCTCTGTATATATTCTAAGAATTAAATTTATTATCTAGCGATCTATACTTTATAAATAGATGTAATAACTAAAGAGGTCTACCAATTAAAATAAATAAATCCATAACATAAAGAAATTAAAAATCATATGGTTAATAAGTAAATTCTAAAAATTAGTTATTAAACATAATTGGCATCAAATTTCCTTTGTCATTGGTCGAACACAATTAACATATGGTGTTATTTGATAATAAAAAATTGAATGGTTAGAACGAGAATGAAAATTTTATTTTTATTTTATAACTGTTTGGTCGAAAGAAATGAAATAAAAATTAATTTTATTTTCATGGAGCAAGTATGAATAAAAACAAAATATTAAAATTAAATTTTTTTCTTCAAAATAGTAATATGTTATTTTTATTCATTGTATACCAATTACTTCTACCACTACCACTATCTTCATTGGAAATGGTGACAAATTTTTTTTTTTTTTATTATTATTATTTCGCCATGACTCTTCTTCCACCACCTCTAAATTTTCTTTCATTGACATTTCCTATGAGGATGGAATAATTTTTTAGAACTTTATTATTGTTATTACTATATTACTATTATTATCACTGCCATCGCAATTACTTCTATTATTTTCATTATCATCATAGTGTTTGATATATGCTTAAGGTCTAGTTTCGGTACAAAAAGTCTACTAATTAGCGACGGATCCGTCACTAATTGTTGCAAATCCGTCACTACGGGACATTAGCGACGAAATTGCTACTAAAAAAATTTCATAGCCAAAACGAGTGTCCTTAACCCTTGCGATGGATCTAACGGTGTTCATCGCTACGATAACGATGGAAATTACGTCGTAACAAAATATTATCCCTCACTAAACGACAACGACTTTCTACCCATGTTGCTCAAAAGCTATGCTTTCAAGTCGAAGAGTTGCAAACTACAACAATCTTGACTTGGTTTATTTGGAATGGGAAAGCTCAAGCAGCACATCAAAATAGACACTAAGAGATTAGATGAGAAAGTCACAATAGTAGAAGGATAGCTCCTCTAGGCACATGATGGAATCCAAGAGAAGATTAATATATGTATTTACACATGATGTCATATGGTGCACGTTGTATAGTTTTCCTTTCATTCCTTGATGTCTTTTGTTGCCTCTCTAATACGATCATATATTAAAATCAAGATTGGAAATATCTTACTCCATTGAATTGTCAATATTGCAATAAAAAATAATAGGCATGGCAGAATCATCATGAACCTTGTTTTTAGCATAATGCTGTTACTCCCTACTTTCTTCATTATCTCCATCTATATGCCTGGAAGCCACTTTCTTGATGGTAAATAATTGATTAAATTAAGGCTTATTATATCAAAAAATTACAAACTTTATACTTTTTAATTATATTAGCATGTTCTTTCAAAATTAGATAGAAAAGACATGAACTAAGTTTCTAGTAACTATATTAGTACCACGAATTTTTTTGGCTTAAATTTCATTTTTAGGCGATGTGGCATAGGAGATAAGATGGCGGCAAAGCATAAATGCCACGTAAGATTCCATATAAAATTCTACGCTAGCCAAACGGATCCTAATCAACATCCTAAACTCACCGACCTACCAAACATGTTAGACTCGATAGCAAGTTTTTCTCTCGAATCGGCCACTTTCTAGCCAAATCAAAGGCTAAAACCTTGATAGAAAAATGCACTCGCCATTCCAGCAGTCATTCTCCCCCTTGTGATAGTGACAAAAAAATGCAGGAGGAGGAAAATGGCTCAAGACCCATGACCCATCAATCATTATGTTCTCATCTTTCTTCTTTAATCAATTTTGGCTAGATTTAATAGCGTTCAAGACTCAAAACTCGTCTCAATCGACTCCTCAAATTAAAAAACTCTCGGGTCAAGTTTTGTTGCTTGTCAAACCCCGTTTTCGCCTTCCTCTAGCATTTCCTTCCACTCTAACTAGTCGGAAAAGATTGATGGAGGTGTGGAGAATGGTTCTATGGTGGTTTCGGCCTTCGATTTGGTTGAAAAGTGGAGGACATCACGAGTTCAAGTCTAGCGGGTTGGCGAGGTTTGGGATGCGGGTTAGGGTATGTTTGGTCGGCATGGAATCTTATTTAGTATTTATGTCATACTCGTCATCCTATCTCTCACGCCATGCCGGTTAAAAACGGAATTTAAGTCGAAAAGTTTTATAGGTGTTCATATGTTTACAAGAACCTTAGTTCATGTCTTTTCTGTCTAACATTAAAAAAAATGTGCTAATATGATTAAAAAATATAAAAATCATGATTTTTTAATATAATAAGCTTTAAATTAATCATATATGCATTGCATTGCAATCTAGGATATTTGTGGACATAATTTTCTTTTAAACAATGATGAGAATTGAGCAGCATAGGAGGCTTGTTGAAGCCCATAACTCCAAAATGTGATGAGTGTTTGGAGTAAGAAGTGGAGACACAAGCTATTTCATTACAGTTAATTCATTTGAAAACTGAGTTCTTTGATTAATCTATAAAGCCCAATCTCAACTTACTGCTCTCTATTCTTTTAATTGGCAGCTTTTTTTCCAATTGAACTATTATAAAACATAGATGAATAATTCAATCCATCGGATCCTACTAAAAGGTAGCCTAAAAACTAAAACAGATAAAGAAAAGCTAGTACTAGAATTCACAGGGCATATGATAGCGGCAAAGTGGACACAAGTGGCTAGTCTGCAACCACTGGATAATGCATTCTGAATGATAAACATGCGACCACGGCATCCGAATTGCTTCACTCCCTGCTTCAATATCTTCCATACAAACAGTGCAATCTCTTGCCGACACCAAACCGTCAAAAACCACTCTTTCCAATGCATCAATGGATGACTTGGTGGCCGGGATTGGCTTTGCCTCGACCTCCATTAACTCCCTCTCAGCTCTAGAAATATCATCTTCTTCATCATGAATTCTAATTTCTTGATAGACGGTCTCCACTACTCCGACAGTCAAGAATACACCATTGCAAGTATCCATGCCACGCGCCTTAGTTGCAATTTTGAATAGTATATCTGATGACATGATTCCAGGGATTCCCATGTTGGTCAAGATCTCTTTGAAATCTTTAATGTGATGGTGCAGTGAATCTCCAACCGGAATGTAAATAATTTCATGGCTTACGAGGTCAAGTCTTCTATCTGTTGCAGAGAACGCCATTCTAAGAGGAGGGTAAATTGGAACCTGTTGCTTGTAAAGCAAGAAGTTCACTGGGAACGTTGTTGAGACCTGTTGTGGTGGTTGGTTAAGATTGATGTGTTGTGATTCTTGATTTCTTTTGGGTTTTAAATTGATAAAAAAGTGGTAATGGATGGGAGTAGCCATGTTTAGTTCAGAGAGAAAGAAGGACAATAGGGTTTGCAAACAAAACCAAAAAAACTGATGTAGAGTGTGTGTCTTGCAGGTACGTAGGGATAGGGTACAAAGATATGAGTCTGTTTGTTAATTTATAACCATAGAATTTTGGTTGACAAATACGGTCCTGATTAGAAAAGGATTCCTGATTTCCTAAGGATTTTTAGAATGTCGGCTAGCTGAATTGATGAGGTCCGAACAATCAGGAGACAAGGGTGCATTTTCAATACAATCTCAAAGATAAGACTCTATGGAAGAAGGATTTAGTCTTGTGCACAAAAGCTAGCCCACTGATATCCTTAATGCTAAAACCAAAAAAGCAACATGAAGAAATTGAAAAATTGGACTGGTTGTCTCGACATGAACTAATCCAACACAAAGCTAGTACCTTAATTGGGGTCGAATGCATCGAATAATTTAATTTGAAACGTTAGCTAGTTGAGTATTAAAATTGATAAGAATATTCTGGACTTACCTCTACAGGCTTGATTGAAGGGGAAAAAAATGTTGAAAATGATTAAAAGAAAAAGTTTAAAATTTAAATGAAAAGTAATATTATTCTTTAGTTATCGCATTAATTAATAATTATTAGCATCGTTCCATTTGAAACACTATGATTAACGCATCAACGTAATGTAGGAGAGAATTGATCTTTTAACGTCCATTGCATGAGCTATTTGAAGGTTGAAACATTGGATGCGCAGAAAAAAGAAAAGTCAAATAATGAAAATCACAAGAAAAGTAGCAAAAATTTTATGAAAGCCGACCCCGGCCCGTTTTGAGAACTAAAATAACAAGGAATATTGGCTTTATTTCTTGGTTTCATCAATTAACAACAGAACATTGTAGTATAAATAGAAGTGGAAGTTATGAGAATTCATATCCCACAAAACAAAAGAGTATAAACTGAACATCCACTTGTGAAGGAAAGAGAACGCAAATTCCTTAAAATGGTCAAGGGAAAGCCTTGTTTTTTAGCTCAGTTATGGTGCTCTCTCTTCTCCTCATTATCTCAATGGTTGAAAGCCGCATTCTTGGCAGTAAGTACCTTTGATAGCATTACTTTCTTTCTGATAATTCATAGTAAAGATTAACTTATGTTTTCATGAAATGTATTGACTTCATTTTCTTACAAATGTTAAACAATAACTAATGAGCAGCAGCTGGTTTCTTCGCCAAAAGGACCTTAGAGTGTGATAAAGTGATTGGAGTAGAAAGTGGAGACACTTGCTTTGACATTGCACAGTCATTCAATTTGACAACTGCATTATTTGATGCTATAAACCCCAATCTCAACTGTACTGATCTCTTCGTAGGACAGTGGCTCTGCATTGCCGGGTCAGCCTAAATTGCCGAGTTGTTGATTCATCCTATCTAAGACATCTCTAAGAGTAAGTGTATGAATAAGGAAATCAAGAACTCCATTTACTTCAAAAGAAGTACTGCCCTTTCCCTCAAGGGTTGATTGTTTGTTTAGCTTTTGATTAACGCTAGCCTTTTTTTTTCTTGCATTTTCTATAGGACATTGAGACAAGAAAGGTTCTCAGGCATGTAAGAAAATCTGAATTCAGATGAATAAGAATAAAATGTTTAATCCATTTCATTTTTTATGAAAAAAAGTATACTAACTACTAGATATCAAGGCCAAGAGAACTACAGCTTTGAATTGCATTATATCTGTCAATTTCCAAGATCCCATGTGCAATATATTTTGTTGCGACAGAAATCTAGAACTAAGGCTAAGCACAAAGTTCACGATGAACACAAAATGGTATAGAAATGTGAATCTTTGTTGTTCAGCTTGGCAACTGTTCTCAAGTCCTTCCTCTCCCATCACCATATTTTGGCCATGCATATTGTCATTTGCTCAACATTCACGAGGTATGTAACAGCGAAATGGAAAATAAGTTTCCAAAAAGCTTTTAGTTATCTACACTTTTTTATTCATATGTAGAATATACAAAGACAACTAAATTTCTTACCAATCTGTTTGAAAATAAAGTGAAAAAGAAAAGAAAAAAGGAAAAGAAAATATGTTAGCTAATTTAACGTGCAAAATATTTGTTCAAGGATTTTTGTGAATCTTGCACAACAAACTAAAATGGGACACACAAGAAAGGGGAGTAACCTTGGAAGAAGTCCTCCACCTTGTCAACTGTTCAAAGCATTTGAGAGAACTGGTCTTTAATAGTCTTTTCTGAGTGGAGCTCTGTAAGGAAATTGGGATCAATTCAAACTTCAAAAAACATACTTACTCTGCTTTCTGGAATTCATCAATTATAGAAAATGAATCAGGAAAAAGTCCTTAGAGATCTGTCAAAATTATGAATGATGTCCAAAAGGTTCGGATTTCAACAAAATATGATTTTGCTAGATTTTCTTGTAGAAGCCGTTCTTACTAGGACCAGTAATCACATTAAGCAGAGACCAAATAAATCAATTTAAGCATTCAGTGTTGAAACCTGCTCAGAAAAAGGAGGTTCCTGTGGCACATTATGTGTTGATTTGAAAACAATTCTGCCATCACGAATAGGCCAACCGAGATAGATGCAATCAGAAGACGTACATAGGATATAGCAAAAACAAGTATTGATCAGATGAAGCAATTCAAGAACTTGTACAGTAATAATTCTTAATTTGATTTCTAATATTTAAATTCAAACTAACTTGAAATACTCATTTAGATCATCATAATAACACCTTTCCGAGTTTGAAGCGTTTTCAGGTTCAGTTTCACAGGCTTTCTAGAAAAATAAAGAACAATCTTTATTGAATATTTATAGAGGCAGAATCTAAAGTTTGATGATAGCATGCACATTTGTTGGGTTTCCCTTCTAGTTGGAGGATGGCCCTAAAATTTGCTTACATGAGCCCAATCTTGAAGCTCATATGGAGAAGAAATTTTTTAATCACTTGAAGGGTAATTTTGATAGTTTTAAATAAAACCTCTCTTCTCTTTTATTTTGAAATCAGACCAGGGAAGAAAGTAGAGAGAAAAAGAAAGGAAAATGAGAGAGAGCCGCAACTTTAGAGAGTAAGAGGGAAGAAAATTTCAACACGGACCAATCACACGAAAATTGATTTTTTGGGTTCATTAACTCGTTGGATTGAGCTCAAATTTGGTGGGCACGTTCATGAGAGACAAATGCACATTCTGAACAATGAAGATCTAGTTTTGAGTCCCGTAGAGTGAGATATGATGCTCACAATAGTGCTATTTTCCGATGAAATTTGAACTTGGTTTCTTCTATTTTTTTATGTATCATCTATTGATGTGGTTTGCCAATGGTGTGTAAACTTTAAAGTTTATGGCTGATTATTCCTCTAGTTTAATCTAGGAAGAACTCCTTGTATTGTCCATTATTGTTGATAGTGGAAGTTATTATAGATTTCGGTCCCGTAGTTTTTCTCTTCTCAAATTGAGAAGATTTTCCACGTAAAATTTATGTGTTTCTTATGTGATTGGTATTTTATTTCTTTAGATTATTAGTTACTTGTTTTGGCTTGGGTATTTGATTGTAACCTATGTTTGATTGTTCAAACAAGAGTAAAGAGGTTCCATTGTGTTATTTGTGGTTCTTTATCCAACAAGTGGTATCGAGCTCGATTGTTTGTTTTCGACTTGAACAATATGGAGAGTAACATTAAAATGATAAATCTAAATGAAAGCAATTATCACATGTGGAAAAGAAAAATGAAAGATTTGTTATATGTAAAGAGTTGACATCAACTTGTATTTACTTCGGATAAACCTAAGACAAAAACGAGATGAGGATTAAAAGTTTAAGAACGAACAAGTTTATGCTTTTATTCATCGAGTACATTGATGATAATGTTTCTAATCATGTTATAGAAGAGGTGAATGCTAAAACTTTATGAAAAAGTTTGAAAGATCTATTTGCCAAAGAAATAGTGAATAACAAGATGTACTTTATTAAGCGAGTAGATGAATTACGGGTATAAGGAGAGAACTTCTATAGCTGATCACAATAATGAGTATGTGGGAATTATTTAGCAAATGAAAGCCATAAACATAAAAATTGATGATGAGATCCTTGGGTTGTATTTGCTTGGTTTATTATCGGATTCTTAGGAGACATTTCATATATCACACTCGTAATTCTACTCTTAATGGGAAGATGACCTTGGCCTATGCTAGAAATGGGGTTCTTAATGAAGAGGTTAAAAGGAAGACTCAAAATTCTTCTTCCTAGTCCGATGTGCTAGTTACTATAAAAGAGAGAGGAGTAGAAGTAAGGGTCCGAAAAGAGGAGGCAAGAGCAGAAGCAAGTCTAGGGGCAAGTTTGCAAATGTGAAGTGCTACCATTATGGTGATATGAGTCACATCAAGAAATATTATCGAAAATTAAAGAAAGACAATAAGAAGAACAAAACCAAACGGAATGATAGTGATGTCGATGAAGATCGAGTTAATGTAACCGATGAGTTTTTGATTGCATATGATATTGATGAACTTAACATAGCATCAAATGAGCATAGTTGGGTGGTTGACGGTGGAGTTTCGGTACATGCTATATTTCACGAGGAGTTTTTAGCTCATACATGCCTGTTGATTTTAGGGCAATAAGGGTTGACATTAATGGGTTGTTCAAAATTCCTAGTATTGGAGATGTGTACTTAGAGACTCATACTCGAGTAAAATTGGTTCTAAAAAATATGAAGCATGTTATTGACTTTCGCTTGAATTTAATCTCAATTGAAAGACTCGATGATGAAGGGTTTTGTAACACATTCAAAAATGATATATGGAAGTTGTCCAAGGGTTCTATGGTAGTGGCAAAAGG